TGTGTCATATAAGGCCACTGTTTCCTTGTTGATATTAAGTCTTGAAGATCTACCCATAGATGTCAATAATGTGTTAAAATCCCCTACTTTGACTGTGTTATTGTCACTCTCTCCCTTAATGTCCATCAAGATTTGCTTTATGTATTTAGGTACACCAATATTAGGTGCATAAATGTCCTCTTGTTGGATTGATCCCTTTATCATTAGTAGCATCCTTCTTTCTTTCTTATACAGTGTTTGTTTTAAAGTCTATTTTGTCTGATACAAGGACTGGTAACCCAGCTTTTTCTGTTTTGTTTCCATTCTCTCTCTCTCTCTCTCTCTCTCTCTCTCTCTCTCTCTCTCTCCTTTCTCTTCTTAAAGTATACCCTTTAATGTTTCTTGTAATGCTGGTTTGGTGGTAATGAGCTCCCTTAGCATGGTCTTGTTGGGGATTCTCTCTCTTTCTCCTTCAATTTAGAATAATGGCCTTACTGGGAGGAGTAGTCTTCATTGTATTCCATTGCTTTTCATCACTTTGAATATTTCATTCCAATTTCTTCTGGACTGAGATATTTCTGTTGAGAACTCAGCTGATAGTTTTATGAGAACTCCTTTATAGATAACTCATTGTCTTTCTCCTGAAGCTTTTAAAATTCTCTTTGTTTTTAACCTTTTCCAATTTAATTATGATGTGTCTTGGTGTGGGCCTCTTTGGACATTTTGTTTGGGACTCTATGTGCTTCTTAGACTTATGTGCTTTTTCTTTTACTACGTTAGTGAATTTTTTGGTCATTATTTTTTCAAATAGATTCTTAATCCTTTCCTCTCTCTCTTCTCCTTCTGTTACCCTTATTATACAAATATTGTTACACTTCATATTGTCCCAAAGATCCATTAAATTATCCTCATTTAAAAATTTTTTTTTTCTTTTTGCTGCTCTGATTGGATGTGATTTTTTTAAATGTTGTTTTCCAAATAGCTAATTCAATCCTCTGTTTCATCCAACCTACTGTTTATTCCTTCCAGTATATTCTTCATTTCAGATGTATTCTGCATTTCTGACTGGTCCTTTTTTTTTAGTTTCTATGTATTTTTTCATGTTTTTGAAGCTCTTGCTAAGTTTCTTGAGCATCCTTATAGCCATTGTTTTGAACTCTGTATCTGGTAGCTTGCTTGTCTCCATTTCACTTAGTTCTTTCTCTGGGGATTTCTTTTGTTCATTCACTAGGGGCATGTTTCTTTGTCTCCTATTTTCTCTTCCTCTCTGTATTTATTTCTGTGCATTAGGTGGCTCTTCTATGCCTTGGTATGATGGCCTTGTGTAGTAGATGTCTTTTGGTGTTCAGTGGCAGCCCCTGCCCCAGAGTAATAAAACAGTTCATGAATGTATCCTAAAAACCCCAAAACACCAATCAGAGAATATATATACACCTATGTTCATAGCAGCATTATTTACAATATGGAATACTATGCAGCTGTAAAAAAGAAGGATCTCTTACCCTTTGGGAGAACATGGATGGACCTGAAAAATATTATGCTAAGTGAAATAAGCCAATATGAGGAAGATAAATATCACACGTTACCACGTATTTGTGGAATCTAACAAACACAAGGAATTGACCAACAAAATAAGACCCGAAGCATAGAGGCATGGAACAGACTGACATAGCTCAATGTAGGGTTAGGGGGACAAGAAGAGATAAACCAAAGAATTTATATACTTACTAGTGGCCCAGTGCATGAAATTTGTGCGGGGGGGGGTGTCCCTCAGCCCAGCCTGCACCTTCTCCAATCTGGGAGCCCTTGGAGGATGTCTGACTGCCGGTTTAGGCCTGATCACCTAAGCCAGCAGTCAGACATCCCTCTCACAATCCGGGACCGCTGGCTACTAACCGCTTGCTTGCCTGCCAGCCCAATCACCCCCTAACTGCTCCCCTGCTGGCCTGATTGATGCCTAACTGCTCCCCTGCCAGCCTGATCGCCCCCACTGCCCTCCCCTGCCAGCCTGATTACCCCCAACTACCCTCCCCTGCCAGCCCAACCGCCCACAACTGCCCTCCCCTGCCACAACCTGCCTCCTCCTCTGGGACCCGCCTCCTCTGCGCGAGGTGGTGGAGATGCTGGGACAGGCCTCCTCTGCACTGCTCAGAGCCATGGGACCCCCAGGCCTCACCATGCAGAGCAGCCATTGGGCCCCACCTCTGCTGTGCATGCGGCCATCTTGTGATGATGTTGCGCGTGAGGGCCACCTAGGCTTTTATTAGTATAGATATGCATAGACCATGGACATGGCAATAGGATAGTGAAGACCTGGGTGAGTGAGTAGGGCAGTGATGGTGAACCTTTTGAGCTCGGCATGTCAGCATTTTGAAAAACCCTAACTTAACTAACTTAGCTCTGGTGCCGTGTCACATATAGAAATTTTTTGATATTTACAACCATAGTAAAACAAAGATTTATATTTTTGATATTTATTTTATATATTTAAATGCCATTTAACAAAGGAAAATCAACCAAAAAAATGAGTTTGCGTGTCACCTCTGACACGTGTGTCATAGGTTCGCCATCACTGGAGTAGGGCCTGGGAGGAGGAGGATAAAGGGGTGAGGGGGGCAATGGGAGATATTTGTAATACTATCAACAATAAAAAATATATTAAAATGTTTAAATAGTGGGAATGTCAGATAAACCTGAATAGGTTCATGTCCCTGAACCTATTCCTTTTTGCTTGGACTCTTTAAGAGATAAACACTGTTTCATCCTTAATTCCTCTGTCTCTATTTATTAGGCTGAGATTTCCTAGAGAAGTATCTTACTGGAATTTCCTTCCAAAAGGGGAAAATAATCTTAGAATTTGACAGTAACTGCCAGATCAGGAGAATTAAAATGGCTTTTCAACAGATTTTATTTGTCCTGTTTTTGTTAGTGCAGTCACTGAATCTGGGACTACTGATCAATTTCTCTATTGAATCAACTGCATCTTCTTTATGAGCAAATCGTCATCTGATACTGGAAGAATCCATAGTGAATTTCTGATTATGATTCAAATTGATCATTTAAAACCTCTTCCCAGAATGAATCAATATTCTATAAGAGGTTCTTCATAGTATAAAGCTCATGATAGAAGATTCCAAAACTCAGGGTCTTATTGTTTCTTGTTCTAGTCCTTGTAATGCTCCCATTTTATGTCTGAGTATGCCAGAGGATGGGGATGGAGGTTTGTCTAGAATTTCCAAAAAATAAGCAACATTATTATCCCTCTACACCGTGTTGTTTTTAACCCCCATACACTGATAGCATCTAACTGAACTGGAAATAAATTCTTTACTGTAATAAATTTATGTAGTACATTTTTTTTAGAATTCCAGTTAATGAAACTAGCCAATACTATTTCACCTAGTTTGGGGAAGGAAAACAATTTACCTGGACAGTAATGCCTTAGGGTTTTACTGAAAGCTCCTCTTATTTCTGACAAATTTTTAAGGCTGATTTGGATGCTATAACTTGCCCTATCGGTTATACCTTGTTGAGAGATGTGAATGATTTATTTATTTGCTCTTTTCAGATCTCCTCACTGGAAGACAGCATCCACCAGTTTGAACTTATGTACTTAAAGGGACACAAAGTCTACAAAGAAATTTCGGTTTGTCCAAACTCAGGTAGGATATTTGAGACATCTAATATTGGAACAAGGACTGTACCTGGATCCAAGTAAGTTTCATGGTGTCCTACGTTTCCTGAGTTTTTCTTGGACTAGTTGGCTATTGCCAAAATTGGATTCCCAAAACTCATATATTTACTAAAGAATTATAGTCCTGACCAAATTTTATGGGAAGAATGGAATGAAATAGCATTTAGAGCCTTAAAGGAGAGTTTAATAAACCTACCTGCTCTTGGGCATCTTAATTATCAGATTCCATTTTCCTTTTTTTTTTTTAATCAAAAGGAAGGGAATGCCTTTGGGGTACTCACTGAAAAACCTGGGGATCACCATCGACCCCCTAAGATATTAGCATCAGCAGCTTGACCCGGTGGCTCAGGGATCCCCACCCCCCCCCACCTCTTGCCTTAAAGCCATTGATGCTACTGACTTGTTGGTTAAGGCTACAGTGAAAAAAATATATTAAAGTAACTTATGCAAAGACTAAGATCATTGTGAAAGTTTTTTCATGCATATAAATCATAATGCAAATTACATTTTTCTATACACAGCAACTGGCAACTGTTTTTATTGCTTTACAATGTTGGTACATTCACCCCTTCCACAACTCCATGAGGTAGTTAATACCATATGTTTATCTGCATTTCACTGGTGGAGAAGATGAGGTATAGGATATTTCCACATTATACTTCCTTAAAAATAGTTTTAGCAGATAAATTGTTTGGAAAATTATCTGTAGGAAATTAATTTAATGACTTAATTTTTCACCTTCCAAAGCATCAGTGACTTTTGTCATCTTTTATGTTTTATTGACCATTTTACTTTTGTGAATTTCCTATTCATATTCACTATTTTCATAAGTGCAGTTTTGACTGTTTGATTTTTTTGTTGGATATTTGTAATAGTTCTCACTATACAATGTCTACAAAAACTTTTCTGTTACAGGATATATTTTGAGGTAAGTTATTTAAGTCTCAATGCATGATTTAATGATATTATCTACTATGGCACTATATTAGTTCTATTGGTATCTTTTTTAATTTTTAAAATATTTTTATTGATTTCAGAGAGAGGAAAGGAGAAGGAGAGAGAGATAGAAACATCAATGATGAGAGAGAATCATCCATAGGCTGCCTCCTGCACACCCCCTACTAGGGATCGAACCCACAACCCAGGCATGTGCCCCGACTGGGTATTGAACCACAACATCCTGGTTCGTGGGTCAACGTTCAACCACTGAGCCATACCAGTTGGGCAGTTCTATTTGTTTCTCAAAATGTGTCCATTATCTATAGGAGTTGCATGGAAAACTCTGTGTTTTTTCCTATATTTTCCCCATCATCAAAGTTTTAATTTATTTTCAAAATAAATTTTATGCCTTCATCTGGAAATTGTTTGTTGTAAGACTTTGATGGTGGTCTTCTTGGCCAATGAAGATCGATAAATGATTTTCCTATCTTGGACCAATTTGTTTATAAAGTGTTGTCCTGATGTGCAGGTTTTAGGAGAACTTTCAGATTCCTTTGGTTTGATTTACCAATTTCCCTTAATATTTATGTAATTTTTGTATTCTTTTCATTGGTACATATTAAGTCAGTCATAGTGTGCCCAGGTTTAATAAAAATGATAATTATTTTGTCACAACAAAGAATTGAATCTTTACATATAAGAGCTATGGGAGGAATGGGGCAACAATGTCCTGAGGAAAGAGACAAAAGAATGAGACAGATATGCCAATCTAGTATAGTTACATAGAATAATCATCATTATTTCAAATTGTGCTCAACCAAAACATTAAATTTCACATTATATCTGTCAATAGATAAGTGATGATCCATCTTATTCTGAAAGAAATATATATACATATACAAATTTAGAGAGGATGAAAATACAATAAGTCCTTATATGAGTACAGGTTCTATATTAACTTAATCTACAATTGGGGCTTGACATCCATTATTAAAGGCTGAAAATGAGAGTGAAAGCAATCAGGTCAGGTGAACATTTTTAAAGGCCACAAGAAAGAGATAATTTAGTTTTTGAAATAGAAGATTTTCATAAATAGCTCAACTTTATAATAGAAAGCAAATAGCTTTCTAATTCAATGAATATTCCATTAGAAAATGAGCTAAACTGCATGAAGGCAAATGACTTGCCATGTCTTTAGGTAAGAAGTGATTCTGAGGTTGGATGTATAATAAAAGCCAGGGAGCATTACTAGTCTCCCAAAATGAAATGGAAGGGTGAACCTTTTTACAGAATTCCTAGTTAAAATACTCTGAGTGCAAAATACTATGGATACTATGAGTAGACTTCTTCATGCTTTTTGTGTCATGTGCAATATTTAAAACACTGTTTAACTCAATAATATTTTTTGTATTGCTTGTGAATTAGAGCAGTAAAGTTCAATATAGTCCCAAAGAGTTAGTTATTTTTAATTTTTCCAAGATTTTTCTCTTTGGAATGAAATATTTCTACCTCAAATAGGTAGTAAACCACTTGGAAATAAACTTTTATCTAAATCACTTGAAAACAAATGTTGATCTTAGAAGCTAAATTGTGAAGTGATTTTGTCACAGGAAGAAGGGATCCTTATGTTAGAACTTCATTGTGCTGAATAAACTGAAGGAGTCCCATTTATGAGGCAAATCAGCTTCAGGACTCTGAAACAACTACTCCCTTTTCTTCTTCTTTCCTGGTTTAGCAAACTTCTGGTAACACAACAGACAACATTTTGTGATGACAAATGTAGCACTTGCCACACAGGCCAGCAGGAACCCAATCACATCCAAAGAGTGGTACTGGACCCAGGTGAGGTCGTAGGAGGCTGGTCGCAGGTGTTTGGCTCCTTTGTGGCGCATGACAAACTCGATCCAGAAGACCGCTCGATCTAGAGGTTTCATAGGCTGGTCATGATGAATTCTTGATAATTTCATAGCATTCTCCTTATATCTGAAGGAGAAACACAAAGATACCAACATTGAAAGGAAGTTAATTTGCCTAACCAATTCAAACCTATAAAAAGTTTTTGTCAAACAAATGATTTAACATACATACCTTAGAATTACAGTAGTATATTTTTATTTGGATGTCAAAGAAAGTTTGACTTCTAAATTAAAATTTTCTCATTGAAAAATATTTTAAACAGTGAAGATGAAAAATAAAGTGGAAAAGTTAATGTATTTTTAGTAAAGGAAATGATAGAAGCCATTCTATATGCTATATGTTGGAGAGTTGAATTGTATCTATAATAATAAAAGCATAATATGCAAATCGACCAAACTACAGAAAAACAGAACAACTGTCAGGACAACCTTCCAGACGACCACGCTATGACATGCACTGGCACCAGGCCAGTCAAGGCGGGTGCGATGCGATTGGTCAGGGGGCCCCGTCATTGCCCCATGATCGCCCCTCAGAGGGAGGCCCAGGCCACCGGCCAGCAGGCCAATCAATTGGCGGGGGGGGGCTCCATGATTGCCCCAAAGAGGGAGGCCCAGGCCACCCTCTGTGTGGTGATTGATTGTGGAGCCCTGGCTGGGTAGGCAGGGCTTCCCTCTGCTGGGTGGTCGATCGCGGAGCCCTGTGATCAATTGCCCCAAAGAGGGAGGCCCAGGCTACCTGGCTGGTGGTGCTGCAGTGGGTGTGCGGGGCTGGCCAGCGATTGCCCCACAGAGGAAGGCCCAGGCCAGCCAAGTGATCACACCCTACACCTGTTGCCCGCAGAGGGAGGTGACTGGTGGTGGGGGCGGGAGAATAGCGCTGCACAGATGGCAAGCAGTGGTGATGGTGGGGGCGGGGCCAGCTGCTGGCAGCCAGGGGAAGGAAAGCCCCGACAGGCCCTGATCACCAGCTAGGCCTAGGAACCCTACCCAAGGGGTCTCGGATTGCTAGAAGGCACAGGCTGGGCTGAAGGACATGCCCCTGTACATGAATTTCGTGTACAGGGCCTCTAGTATCCTATGTAATAAAAGCCTAATATGCTAAGTGTCCAGTCATCCAGTTGTCCATTCAACCAATCAAAGCACAGTATGCTAATGATATGCTAAGGCCGCTCAATGGCTCTCTATGATGTGCACTGACCACCAGGGTGCAGACACTCCAACTGGTAGGTTAGCTTGCTGCTGGGGTCTGACTGATTGGGACTAAGCGAGACGGGCCAGACATGCCCTGGAGCCCTCCTGTGGTCCTTCCCCGGCTGGCTAACCTCCCGTGTCCCTCACGGGCTCTAATCGTGCACCTGTGGGGTCCCTCGGCCTGGCCTGCACCTGAGGTCAGTGCGCTCCCACAGGGGGAGCGCTGCTCAGACAGAAGCTGGGCTCATGGCTGGTGAGTGCAGCGAGGGTGGTGGGAGCCTCTCCCGCCTCCGCGGCAGTGCTAAGGATATCCGAATTAGCGGACCTAAGTCATCAGTAGGACATGCTTCGAAGGCTCCCGGACTGTGAGAGGGTGCAGGCTGGGCAAGGGACGCCCCCAACTCCCTGAGTGCATGAATTTCATGCACCGGGCCTCTAGTTTATAATAAAGCTCTAGAAGTTTTATTTTTTATTTTTTTATTTTTTAAATATCTTTTAGATATTATTTTAGTGAAGGACTGTTGTTGGTAGAATTACTGTTTTTTTAAAAATATATTTTATTGATTTTTTTATAAAGAGGAAAGGACAGGAATAGAGAGTTAGAAACATCAATCAGCTGCCTCCTGCACACCCCCCACTGGGGATGTGCCCACAACCAAGGTATATGCCCTTGGCTGGAATCGAACCTGGGACCCTTCAGTCCGCAGGTCGACGCTCTATCCACTGAGCCAAACCGGTTAGGGCAAAGCTCTAGAAGTTTTAAAGAGGAATTGTGTCCTGGCAGGAGAAAGGCTTCCTCACAAGTCTTTGTATTTCTACTCTTGGCTTCATAACTCTATTTTTAAAAAAATATATATTTTATTGATTTTTTTACAGAGAGGAAGGGAGAGGGATAGAGAGTTAGAAACATCAATGAGAGAGAAACATTGATCTGCTGCCTCCTGCAAACTCCCTACTGGGTATGTGCCCACAACCAAGGTACATGCCCTTGACCGGAATCGAACCTGGGACTCTTGAGTCTGCAGGCCGATGCTCTATCCACTGAGCCAAACTGGTCATGGCATATCTGTCTACTTTTAACCCTATAGCCAAAATACTTTTTGTTAAACCCAACAGAATACTACACCTGCTCAAAATTTCTATCTGCCTCCTTATGACATTTAGAATAAAATCCAAATCAATTATTTGCCCTGTCGTATCTTACAAGAACAGACCCCTGGCTATTTCTTCTATTATTTTGTCCCAAGCATGCTCTACTGTAGTCACAATGCTCTTCTAGTTAGCTATTCATTGGAGGTGATAAGTATGTTCTCTTGTTAGCACTTTTGTACTTTCTGTCCGCTTTCTCCCTTTCCTGAAGCAGTTTTTCCTGCAACACCCCAAGGCTGCCTCTATCTCTTGCTGGAGATGTTGGCTCAGTGTCACATCTCAGAGAGACTTTCCCTGGCCACACTATGATAGCATTTCTTTTTTTTTAAATTAATTTTTAATTTTTAAATTTATTGTCTATAGTTTTACATATGTCTCCTTTTCCCCCAGTTGACCCCTGCCCCCCAGCAATTCCCACCTGGGGCAAGCCCCCACTGCCCCAGTGTCTATGTATGATAGCATTTCTTCAATGTCTCTGGTTTTCTTTTTTTTCTATTTAATTCCTATAATTTCTAAATACATTTTATAAAACATACCTTCAATTTATTTATGAAATTCATAAGTGTGTGCATATATTCTAAGTGATCAGCTCAAAATTTCAAAATTATCAATAAAATTATAAAGTGAACATATCGCCGAAACCGGTTTGGCTCAGTGGATAGAGCGTCGGCCTGCGGACTGAAAGGTCCCAGGTTCGATTCCGGTCAAGGGCATGTACCTGGGTTGTGGGCACATCCCCAGTAGGAGATGTGCAGGAGGCAGCTGATCAATGTTTCTCTCATCGATGTTTCTAACTCTCTATCTCTCTCCCTTCCTCTCTGTAAAAAATCAATAAAATATATTTTTAAAAAAAAATAAATAAAGTGAACATATCAACATACCCACTATCCATAGAACCACTCCATGCCTGGGCCATTTTACTACACCCTTCTCCAAATTACCTACTCTCCTGATTTCCAATACCATAAATTAGTTTTTCTTGCATATATTAGAATTTTATAGTATGTACTCACTTGTTTTTTTTCTTTTCTGTAGCAGTTATTGGTTAATTCCTTTGCTATATAGTATTTAATTGTATGACAATACTACAAATTATTTCTTCATTTAATGACCAATGGACATTAAGATTATTAATACTTTTTGGCCATTACTACTAAGCTACTATAAACATTTTTGTATGTCTTTTAGTTTACATATCTATGCATTTCTATTCCTATAAACCTAGACTGATGATAACAAGAATTCACAATGATGTAGAGAATTGGAGCTCTCATACATAGCTGATAGGAATATAAAATGGTATAGTCTCTTTGGACATCAGTTTTTCAGTTTGTCATAAAGTTATTGTATGACCCAGAGTTCACTTGAAGATATCTACCCAAAAATGAATGAAAACTGATATTCACACAAAAACATAATGCTGTATTCATAATAGATAAATAATTGACAAAAGACCTATTTATAACTACTATTAAAAATGTGATACTTACGAAGGGTCATTAATGACAGTCTTCAATGCATTGAGTAAATCTGTACTTGAAATAGTGTTGAAGTCCAATCTGATAGCTGCTCCCTTGGTCTTCATGCGAACAATGTTATCAGGTTGATCCGCAAACATAGGAAGGCCCACCATAGGGATCCCATGGTAGATCGCCTCATAGATGCCATTGGCTCCACCGTGAGTTATAAAGGCTTTGGTTTTTGGATGACCTAGGATTGGGTGAATTTCAGCAAATTATGAATTATAAGTCTTGGAAATAAAATGAGAGTTGGGCAATAAAGGCACTGATAGAGACTATATATTTAGTAACATATTGGTCTACCCTTCAGACTGTATTAAAATGTTTTTCAGAACTCATAGGAAGAGGCACTTAAGTCTGCTGGAGAGACAGTGAAGGCTTACATAGAAGATCAGTGTGTTCCTTTTGACTTGAAATGAATAAAGTTGCTAGTGGACAAATGGAAAGAGAATATTCTGAATTTAAAAAAGTGTGTGCAAAAAAAGTGGTGGTGCATGTTGAAATATATTCTTTTAATAAAATAGTGAAGTCACAGAGTGTGATTTGTAGATGTCAAGGCAACAGACAATGGGATGGTGATGGCATAGGAATTAAATGAAGGAACAGGTACACATTATCATGAAATTATTTATTACTTCAAAAAGAGATATATATTTTTTCCCAATGGAAAATGTAGAGTCACTGGAAATAAAAAAGGAGCTGATATTTTTCAGGGGCACCTGTACACCCTTACCATGGATTATACGATTGGTATAAGGAGAGAATTAGGAGGCAGAGTGACAATCAGGAAAGTGTTGAGATATTCTCTCTGAGAGGAATTACATATGAAATAAAGATCTTTTGTTTGTGGCCATAAGGAACATGGCTGTGTAACATAAGATGCCAACTTATAGCTTATCCTTTTCCCCTAGGACTGGGAAAGAAATATTGGGAAGTTCATTTTTATTTTTGAGGGTTTCAGTAAGAAATGTCCAATACATTTCTATCCTAGTGAACTGTTTATCATTCTGGTTGACTTGATTCTGATTTCAGGGTTTCCCAGAATCTTACCAAGAAGGTCATTCTGGGGGATCCATTTATAGAGCCGGGTATTTGGCCCTAAGGTATCTGGTTTTTTGCCATCATATCTCCATATAACCTGTTAGGGTAAAGAAGGTAATGTATTACTTGAGTCAAACTGCAGAGTTATATCATGTTAGAATTCTAAATAGGTTAAGAGACATCTAGTTAAACCCCTGACATATTACAGGTTAGGGAATGAGGAAAAGACATTCTGATAATGAGAATTAATAAACGGCTGATGTAAGAGGCGTACATACTTATATTGCATGTTACTTATTTTTATATTCAGTCAGGTATGAGTGCAATCATGATGTTTCACACTTTGGGGTTAGACAAATGAGATTAACAATGACCAAGCATATAAAAATTTTTAGGTAGTCATATAATTGTAGTGAAAAACCCAGCAAATTAATGGTCTATGCATTTATTTTAATTATTTATTATTCTAGCTGTCATCATCTAGATTTAATGTTAACCTGTTTATTTCTTTTTGAATTATGGGGAAGTGGTTTTCTTATATTCATTAATTTCATAAAGTATCTTAGAGTTTTACATAATTTGATTTACAAAATCAAGGCAATCAGCTATTTATGAGAATTAAATCATTTTGATGTTTAAGTTTATTATTAATAATAAATAATATCTGCTTAATGAGTATGTTTAGCTTCTTTTAGTTTTCTACTTACTAATCACCACTTCCAAGTGGTAATTTTTACCTGAATCCAGTATTATCACTCTAGCTAGGATGGAAAATTTTCTTAAAATGTAGAAAAGAAAAGCCATTGGCACTTTATAAATAATAGTTTACCTGTTGAAAAGATCAAATATGATGATGACAGTAAATTTTTTTCATCTGATTGTTAATATTTCACAACATGCTACAATGCACTGACAGCATTAATTAACATGGTTAATTAATTATAAATAGCCAAGCAATTTATAAGTCCACCAGTGAGCTGGATTCTAGTTTATACGTGGTTAACATCTTTTTGCTATGTGAGTGTTAAAGTTACTTCAAGTTCTCAGCAAATTTGCATAGGTGATAAGGAGAAAGTTACATTAGTTAGTAAACTAAAAGTAGCTCACAATTATCCGGAGACTTCAAATGTATTTTATGTACTAGAATAATTCACTACCTTAATTTATGGAGAAGGGGGAGAATCTGAAACTGGGCCACGCTAGGCTTGCTTCTGATCGATTCTTTTTATCCTGTCACTAGGGCCGATAGGGGAGTTGGGGCACCGCCCCCTGTCACACACAGAGCAGGGCGGATCAGGGGGTTGGGGCGTTGGGGCGTGTCACACTCAGGGCAGGGCCGATGGGGAGGTTATGGCTCTACCCTGTCACACACAGAGCAGGGCCCGTGGGGGGGGGGGGTTGGGGTGCCGCACCCTGTCACACACAG